TAAAACAATATACCTTGCTTGGTTTCTTATTTGAATACAGCTTATAGAAATGGCTCAGAAGATGGGAGCAGCGCTGCAGGTCGGAGAGAGCCTGGTGTGGACAAAGCCAGCCAAAGACACGAAATCCAAGCAGCATGCTGCTGCTCCCAGCAAGCCAGCCTGCTCCCAGCAGCCTCTGGGCTCCAATCAGGCATTAGGCCAGGCTATGTCCTCAGCCGCGGGATACAGCAAGTCCATCCAGCTTTCAGCAGGTGTGTGGGAATCCCATAGAAATGTTGTGTATTTGCGCTTTTTTTGAAGGATAAAAAATACCACAGTTTGTTAGCTGAAATGAATAATCAGACAAATGGTTTTGTGTCGTTTGCCACTACAGGGAGTTTGTACTTTTATTTCTCTAATGAAACATGTTACACCTAAATGTAATATTGTATTACTCATGCAGTGTCAAGTGTTTTTTGAAATGTGTCCTTGTGTATCTCTTTCTTTACTATACTGACCAATTGTCAGGGCATCAGTGGGAAAAAAAATAGGTCTATTATGTAATAACTCCACTGTAGGTAACAAAATGTTTTCTTTATCAATTTTATGACTAACAGATGTTTTAATATTTGTTGCCAGGTTAATCATTTTATTACATTTCATGATAAGCAACAGCGAACAGATTCAGGGGAACTTTATCAGAGCATTTATCATGAAAAACTAAGAAGGTCTTGACAAAGACAATTTCTTATTTAAAAAGCTGACTGATTAGAATGTTTCTCACAAATCTATAGGATTATACTGTGCTGATGATAGTATTTGTTTTGTTGAATTGTTTTTCAACATGCAGTTCATGGAGTTCAATGTTTAATTTTCAACATGGAGTATTACTTTAACATAAAACGTAATATTACATACTGTATTTACATATATGATAAAATATGTCTGCATATATGAACCATAAGAGATACTAACATGTAAATGCTAACCTAAGGTGGATTGTGAAACTGATATAAGAAAATGCAGGAATTATATTGTTAAATGTGCACCATGTCGAGTGAATGTAGATGATTGCTATGAACAGTATACACAGATGGTGCCTCAGAATACAATAGCTTTCAGTAGAAGACCATAAATAACTGGTTCAGTGTAAGTATTATCCAGTTCTTACCTAATAGACTAGCATCATCTTGTTGTGTCTGCAGGTAGTGCAGCCCCAAGCCTGCAGAAGCCACCATCTCTGCCCCTGGAGCCAGAGCCCACTGCTGAGGCATCAGCCCAGGAGCCGACTTCCCCATCTGAGCCGAAGGACAAGAAGACCAAGGCCAGGCTGGTGGCCGAATAGTACAAGGTGGCACCGTCAGAAGCCCCCAGTTCTGTTAATTTATGATTACTTCTGTGTATTTAATCTGAGTTCATGACAAGGTTATTAACATAATCTTGCAGTAAGTTTAATTCCCTGCTTTTTCAGCATTTTCTTGTTTTTATATAAAGTAACAAGCTTATTTTCATTCCAGATATTGAAGAGTATGTACTGTTGGTTACTTCTTCCAAAAATGATATTAATGATAGGAAAGAATTAGAAAAACTGCATTGAATACAATTTTACAAGCTTCTGTTCCTACACACACAGTGTAGCAAGAAAAACCCAGGTAACTTATCTTGGCAGAGGCAGAGCATGTAGGACCAATTTGAATGAAGGTTTCACCAAGCAGCCAATGGGCGTGAAAAGTGTTGCTGTGACATACTTTCAGTTAATTTAATGCAGCACTTCCCAAGATAAAGGCAGTGTGAATATCCATAAAGAGAGATGTGGTTGTTTATGCAGGAATCCCATTCACATTATTTGAATTGTAGCGTCACAAAAGATATAAATGCCAAGTTTGGAGTAATTATGAAAATGTTTGGCCAAGCAGATTTTGACCATGGACAGAAGCACTTGCATTTTAATGAGTTTCAATCATGCTTGGGTACTCGCGTGATCCGACTGACTCAGTTTTGGAATACAACTGCCGCGCGACGCATTTGTGTCAACAAGTGAACAAAACGCTGGTCAAGCAATCATCCAGGGTTTTACAGGAACCTGTTTCACTCTGCAGTAATTGCATTTTACGTTTTAGCAAGCACGTGATGATCCAGTATGGGCATGAAAAGTTTTGTCTGCAACCTGTGTGGCGCACACCTGTAGTAGGTTTGAGCATGGTGAAACCTGCCAGGTTTAAGGTCAATCAGTGCAGTGGTTCCTAAGATAATGGTTGTTTGAGTTTTGGTGGCAGTTGGTTGGTCATTGTGGTGCATGTAGGAAACCCATTTCACCATGTGTTAACTATATTATCACTAGAATGATACTGACCACGTTTGGAGTTAATTGATTAAGCAGTTTAAGAACTGGGTACACTTCGCCTTACAGGCCAGGTGTCTCTAAGCAGTTGAAGGTGTGGGCAGTGTAATTATCATTGCAAGCTGCGCGCCGCCCATCAGAAACAGGTTTTGTTGTTGATGAAATCTGAAGTCATGGCAAGCTTGATCTGTGAGGATAAAATGGCAGAATGCAGCCATGTGGGCCTATGCAAGAACATCAGTTTGTGAGAAGTTAGAATACGTGACATTGTCAGACGTAGGTAGATTGCTGAGTAGAACTCCCTCACGCTTGGAGTTAATTGTCCACACAGTTTTTAAAAAGTAGGAGGAAGTACAATAGATCGCCTACTGAACACCAAGGTTAAAAAAAACCAGGCAGCCATCTTCCAGGAACTCCATCTTCACATGTTCATCCAGCTGCTGCCAGAAGCATATTTGACCAAACAGGTTTTGAGCAGGATTCATCTGTATGACGGGCTACATTTCTGAAAACGGGTTATCGCGGGTGCAAAACAAAATCACCCTAGTCCTCAGTTGCTTAAAAAGGTTTTGGCTTTTGAAGGAACTTGCCAACTTTAGATTCAATAATTCAAAATTTTTTTTGAAGTGGTGGATTAATCTCAAATGCAATGTCTTTTCTGCCCCAGTATGCTTGCCTGGTATGAAGTTGCTTGGCAAGTTTGAACCCCTGCAGTTTCAAAAGTGGGAACAAAAAATGATACCAATCCTTGCAGTCCCTATAGGTATCCACTACTTGGGAGCTTAAAATTGTTAATAGCAGGAGAGCTTAAAAAAGAGTTTATGGCGCACACAAAAATTAGTTAACCGATTCCTTGACACGTTCCCCTCTAAGGAAAATGATTTTTTTTATAACTGCTGAGCTCTTTAAATAGTTTACACATTTCCTAAATGAGTAATATTTCATATATCTTTAAAACAACATGTATGAATTTTGTACACAATTATTTTATCATATGAATGTAGCTGTGCTTCACTAATGTACTAACAATAATGTTTTCTCCAGGGAAAGTCTGCCCATGCCATCTTAAATATTCGTACATACATAATGTATATAGATAAAATAAATAATATGAGCTCTATATTGTGCTTTGTCTTTGGCAAATAGCACAGGGAATGAATGTATCTAATACTTTGATTTGGCTGTGCACAGATAGTGAAAATTGCTTGTTGGATTTATCTTATCCTGTATAAAGTATGTTTTACAAAACACTAACATATATTTTTAGTATGTTAATTGTCTTTGCACTGATGTTCAATTTTTCACTGAGCTTCACATTACAGTGTTTCTAAAGTCCTGTTACCATCTGGTGATGTTTCAAGAGGTACTGTAGACTAACACCAGACTACAGGGCTGCTGATGACGTCGTCTCAGTGATGCATTTCTCTCAGTTTCTCCATCATTATAGAACATGCTACATTGTAAATGGCTACAGATATTTTCCGCTATAAAATGATGGCACTCTGATCCTGTAATTCCTGTTGTGTAAAACAAAGTCTATGAAGTGCACTTCTGAAAAAGAAATGAGGGTATCAGGACTTTATGGTAACCTTATTTAAACAGTGGTACTTAACATTCTATTAGATACAAATAAAGATGTTTGCTTATTCTGGTGTTTTTTCCTCGGGTTATTACAATTGCTCTATGTTAAAGAATATAAGCCTTTTCCCAGGGACCACTCTTTAGAGCCAAAAAGAAAGTTTGCTTTGTTGTGCAGAATTGCATTTAATTATTGTTTTAAAATGTCCTGCCAAGAACCATTCAGAATTCAGAGTTGTCTATAACCATTTGGTAGAAACCTAAAAGGAACCAGTTTTAACACGAGGTTCTGGAACAGGGGTGCTCCTTGAGAGCCACAATACTGTGGGTCGACTAGGTCCCCCAACAGTCAATAATTGGTAAACGCTTCACACGCTTCTGTTTTGACTACTTGACTTGATCAGGTGATTTGTACACTTAGTTGCAAGATCATGAGTTGAAAACACCACCAGCTTATACTGTAGCTCTGAAGAACCACATTTGCCCATTCCTGATTTATCACAATCAACTCCTTTACAAAGCTGATCGAAACTTATTTCCACGTCTTCAGAAACCGATGATTTAAGGGTGCCCTGTAAGGCCTGCTCGATCGTGTTTGAAACCAGGACTGGCAATCCCCGACCTACAAGAATTTAAATCCAAAGATGGAAAAACAATATTGCGCAGTGGGCATTGTTGACTTTAATGTTAGCGCAAATCAGTCTGTATAGACTTTCTCTATAAAATTTGCAAAAGCTAGGATAAGAATAAAAATGTCATCATGTCCATTTCATATATGGCCAGTTTCTGGTGGTAAGTGTGCATTTTCTTTGTGGCTCAGCAGATACCCTGGAACTGAGAAGCTAGTAGTTTACCTAATGTGAACACTACTTGCAGAGGCAATATTTAGTGGAGTATTCTACTCTTTATTCATTTTCTTATTTTATGTAGCCTGTTTTCTCATATTTCATTTACTAGTTCTTGGCAATTTATCTGTTCTGGACTGTTGGATTGATCGCAAGTCTGAAAACGTGGCCTGTACAGAAAGCATTTAGCATTACATTGCTAAAAAATCTAATTACATGCAACACTTGTTACTCTTTGTTGTTCAATCAAATGAAACCTAAATGAAAAGAAATCAGAAATTAGGCAACAACTTTATTTCGAAGGACAACAAAAAGGCTTTATTTTTGTTTAAAAGAAACAGGTTTCACAAGCACACTTGTTTGTGTGTGTATATATATATATAAAAACACCACTCTAAAATATGTTAAAAGGGTTCAAGTTGTTCCATTCAATATATAAACCTGTAGAAAGGACAACCGATTGATACAGAAGCCTTTTCAGTTACCGAATCCTTATTGATGACACACTTGATAATGTTGAAAACAAGAATAACATTTTAACATCCCTTGAGAGAATTTGAAATGTAATTCCAAACGATAGCAAAGCCAAGTTGTATATCTTTTTTGAAAAGAAAAAGACATCAGTTGGAATCTCCATGTGCACAACACACAGGTAATGTTTATCTAAAGTGTACAATTAGTAACATCCTCTCTTAAATCGAAATTTCACCTCTAGGAACAGGAACAAGAAAGGTTTGTACATTCTGAATGAATATGAACAGTACTCCAATGTTTAGCATGGTTTACCATTCTGTTTCCAATACACCGACATTTAGCAGTGGTGTAGCAGTTTTTGGAAAGGTGTTAGAATTATTCCCTCAGATTCCGGAGTTGGCCCCTTCCAAAATTACTCTTAAAAAGTCTTCTATAAAGCCAGAAATGCCTTTGTTTTAAATATAAGACATTCTTAACCAGACATAAGTATCCCAACTTCAAAATCAACAATTCTCACATTTTCAAAGTTTGACTGCTGTAGAAACATTCTTTACAATATATACAGTACATCTATTTAAAAAATAATGTTTTATATTGAGATGTTTAACCATAACACTTCCTCAGTGCCTTTCATCACAAGGAAATTCAGGTACGTCCTCAAATGCCATAAGCAATAATTCATTCCAAAAGGCAGGAAAGAAAAAATGTATCAATGACAATAAGATATTCAGCTTATGACTTAACAATATTCTACACATTGTTGACAATGATCCAAATGGAATATGTCATCACTGGACTTAGTGTACAAATTTCTTGTATTGTATTTCTCTTTTCAACTCAATGGAGGCATTACATACCACAAGTATCAGTTTGCATAGGCAATATTTTGCAGTTTTTACCTTCACCCTTAGATGTATATACACATGGTAACACTAGTAGCATGTTTGGAATACTGTGAATACAAATGTCTGTATCCTTGCTAACAAAGAAGATTGGAGGCATTTAAAAAATTGTATTATCAATAACAGATGACAGTAACACCAGTAGATGCGGTTGCTGTTTGTGTCAGTTTCTTACTGGTAACAAAAGAAACCTTATGGAAATGGAAGGACACCAATTTTCTGAAAAGTGGCAGTCCTTACTGCATTTTCTCTTTTCCAGGTTTAAATTCCAAACGGCCTGAGTAACGCTTGATTTGTACAGACTGAGTTCTGCCTAAAATGCCTAAAATGAAAAACGGTGTGACTGACGTTTATTTTCATCTGCTGACCACAGCTAATTTCTGTTCCTAAGATAAACTGCAGTGAACCAAAAAGTGCTGTCAGACACTCGACTCACAGTACCAGTAAGGCACAGAATGTTGGGGCAGCTTTTCCTCACTGTTCTTCACCTACGACCTGGAGAGGCTGCTCTCTGCTGGTGCAAGAGGGTAATTCAATCCTTAAAATGTACTACAAAACATTATATAAAGTGGATTTGAGGAATAAGTGGAATTATGTTTAAAATGTTATTTTTTTTATTTTCCAGGTTAGCATATTCTGCTTATTGCTAGATTTAAATGTTTGTATCTTTAAAAACCTAAATCTTGACATTGATTTACTCATGGTATACACTCAGAATTGTTTACCATTAAAAAAAGACAATTGATAAATCAGCCATAACACAATATACAGATTTTACAGGCCTTATAGACTGTCGGCTATGTCATGTGGTCAGACAGAAATATAATAAATATATCAGACAGAAAAATAACGTTTCTTTTTACAAACCGCCTACTGAAGCACAGGTTAAAATGTACATTTTTCAATGATTGTTTAACGTATGGTTACCCTGTGTTCAGGGTACAAACTTAGAACAATTGCATCTAAAATTCTGAAAATCCTATCCAAGACAAAAAATACAGTGCAAACAGTTGAGTCAACAAGTAACATTTCATATTCAGGCTTTTAAGCAAATCTAGCAGTTACACATAGACTTAAAGTAAAGTATGTGCAAAAAATGCCTAAAGCTTAAACTAAATTTAAAAATTGTACGTTTTGAGTAAAGGCAGCAAAATTATGCATTTAAAATTATCTTTAAAACTCGTGGAATCAATCCACCACTCAGCTGGATGGCATATTCAGTATTTGTTGTGATCTGGAGGTTAGCTTGCTTGACTAAAATGCCTTACATGACACGCTCCATTAATTAAACATGTGGCTGAGTCGTCCGTGGCAGAGGAAGGTGACGAAGATCCCACCAGAAGGAAGAGGAATATTTTCAAGTGAATGTCGCATGTCGTGGTACTGCATAAAAAGATCAATCTTTCACTGGAAGAAAATGGATAAACCAACAGGATTTAATTCATAAGACTAAAACTGCATCCCTTGAAGATGCAAGCTTTTCTTGCTCCTCCATCAATGTGCACACTAGAGTGAAACATCTTCTTCAGTGTCAGAACCAGGAAACCCCTTCGATTAATGCTGTTCACATTGGTTTGTTCAAAATAGCTGTAAAATACGTGAACTGCTTTACTCTAATTTTCCTGACAATATTTTGTTAGTCTACCATTTTGTAAAGTACTTGACCTGGTTGTAAAAAGAGAGGTGGCACAAAGTTTAAGATCAAGGGCATCATTTGATGCAACAATATACACTGGATGTTTTTTAAACCTGTTTTCTTTTCGATACTGTCTACAAACAGTGGCACAAACACGCCCCAGTACATCTGAAACCCAAGTATGGTGAAGTGACCTGACTCTACAGCAACCGGGACAATGATATTCCACATTACTGATTCAAAACTGGTCAATTTGTGTTCACATAAGGCAAATAATGTTAACCCATGAATTCCGCGACATTATTGTAGTAATACAAATAAATTGAGGTAAATGGTAGAACCCCTAGAAGCATAAAAAATGGCTTAGAATCTGCTCACTGTGATTAAGGTTTTTGTGTCATACAGAAGAGTGCAGTCAATGACACCAGTTTCATGGTAAAGCGTCTTCTGGTACATCACCCCAGCCGCCACTGAAAAAGAAACTCTTGCCTCAAAGCCTGCACATTGCTGAACAGAGCAAGACGCCTTTGCCCCCCCGCTGTCACCTACTGCTCGATCATTTCAGAGTACAGGAGTCCCTCTGCGGAAATCGCGTCGCCGAGGCCCACGGTCCGTAGCGGATGCTTGCAGACCAGCACGGGGGTCAGGTGGAAAGAGACGTTCTCCCTGCGCCACACGGCCACAGGCTCGGCGGGGCTGAGAGTCACTCTCTCCCTGGGCTCCGCGTGGGACGTGTAGAACTCCAGAGGGGCCTTCAGGACCACCCTGCTGGCATCGATGGCCTGCGTCCCACAGGCCTGGCTCCCCGCTACCCGGGCCCCCGCGGACACCGCCGCCACCTGGTTGGCCCAGAAGCCGTCCACGGTGGCCAGGATGTGGTAGGCGAGGGTGTGGAAGTGGACGCGGGTCAGGTCGGCCTCCGAGCCGGCGTCCGCCCGGCCGCGCTGCGTCAGGACCCACAGGAGGATGTCGCTGACCCGGCCGACGTCCGGCACGCCGTCCCACGCCGCCAGCTGCGAGTGGGGGCCGGAGCCCGCCTGGGACAGGAACAGCAGCTCCTGCTCGTTCAGGCCGATGGAGTTCACGATGGGGAGGACCTGCTAACAGAGCACAGCCGGGGCTGTCGACAAGTCTGCCAGGCCGGGAGGGTGCTGGGAGCGCACGTGCTAGCGGGGAGGGCGGAGCAGTGTCTGCTGAGGAACGCCGGGGAGGTGGCTGATGGAAACGCTGAAGGACTATCCAGGCAAGCACAATACTTTGTATTTCGAAAAGGGTTACTCGGAGCGTGTCTATTGCACGATTTCTATCTGCCCCGTATAATCTCATGGCCCCGTAAGTCTTACATGTTTAACTAAAATCTGTCTTGTGGAAAAATATTCAGCTTTTAATTTCCTACATGACTGGTACATCCTATAGACTCAAGGGCCTGCAAATTTAATAACTAAAAGGGGGGTGTTTTACTCTGTTCAGAGCACATTCTTGACACAGCTTCATAATTTAAAGCGGTGTATTGAATACGTACTCTCTGTTAAATTTCTTTATTCATCCTTTATTGCTTCTTTGCTCTAGGCTGCGATACTAGCGGTTATCCCTTTGGAATGTCGCAAAGGATCAGGAACTAATCTGACAACGTCAAGAGAGCGATGCACGCTTCATTTGTTTAAGCAGATGCATGCTTACAGACGTCTGGTGAAAAATATAAGAAAGGGCAGGGGAAATCTTTGCAAAACCCCACGTTCATTTAACTGGAACATCAAACATTTGATAGGGTTAAAACAGCAAGGGATATTAATCAGCCATTCTCCAATTAAAGGCCTGATATTTCAGAAAAACCAGAGGGTGCTAACTTCAAGACAAAAGGCTACCTAGCTTAAGAGCAAACTAGAAATAATGAAACCGGAATGAAACCCACTTTAAAAAACAGTGCAGGAAGATTTAGAAAAAAAAAGCAGTCTCAACCTATGCTTTTGTTAAACTTATACATTTACCTCCTGCATTATACTGTTCATGTAGTCCTTGTCCGTCATGCTGGCCAGCTCCAAGTGAATGGGCACCTCATTGGGGATGTCCGACATGGCCACTACAGCCTGCGAAACAAAAGATGCAAGCCGTCAGCCACAGAGGACGTGATGCTGCTATGCTATGCACGGGGCCAGAGGTACAGTAACAGTCATTATGAGGGAAAACATCAGCAAAGAAAGGGGGCTCATAATTATCATTGATTAGGATATAATAAGGCATCACTGAAAAAGCCAAGCTGTGCTAACAGACTGCAAAGTTATGGAAGGTATCATTGTAAGTGGGGAAACTCAAGAAGGACAATTTGCACTGGAAAGTAGCTAGAAAGAGCTGTCTGCTATCTTCACAAGGTTCTGTACTCCCCTGTATAATGCAGCTTACTTATGTCTGGATTTTCTTTATGTACGTTTCCATTTACACCAGTGGCGCAAATGATCAGCTTCTGGTAAAAGGCCAAACAGCTGTGTATTTTGGATCGAGTTAAACATGCATCCATTTACAATCATTAAGAGGTGTGAATGGATAGCAGAAGTGCACACCTGTTGCTCTGTGTGGATCACTACCTCAGTCCACACAGACCTGCCTTTCTGTTAACAGGGGCATTTTGTTGCATGAGTAAACACACCTGTGATGAGAAAACAACTTCCATTTCAAGGTGTTGGCCATAGATCTGTCAGGCAAACAGAGCAGGAAATGTATCCAGACTGCTTTTATTAGAAGTAAGCATGCTTATACAATTGAAATATTATGAATTAGCACAATATTAAAGAATCTACACTCCTCCGTGCCATCTTACAAACCCCTCGGAAAATCAGTATCGGTACTCGCCTGGAATCTAAGCTTTGAAAGAAATGGTTACTCCAGCTATCGTAGCAGTCTGTGAAGGAAGTACACCAAAAAAAAGCACTGAGAATATTATACAGATATAGTGGGCTGGGGAAGACTTATAAATCAGCCTAAGTAAATGGAGTAATAGAAATATTATAAATAATTCATATAATGAAATTCTCACTTGCTGTCACCACATAAAAAAGGTTCATGACTGCTTATTAATAAATGAAGGAATATTTACCGTTCAGGTTTTTTTATGGACTAGCATTACCCATGCATGTGCAAAGTTGCCTAAAACCATTTGAAGTGATGCCCACTGCGCTTGCACTCAAGCTGCTCCTCCAGAGACCAGGGAAATGATGATGCCACACCCACGATGAACAGCGCCTACTGTACTTCCAAGCCAGTGGGCGCCCAGTGGAGGAATGGGGCCTGAGAGCTAAGCTCCTCACCTCGCGGAGACGCTGCTCCCACAGCTGCCGGCCCTGGCCCTCCATCATGTGCAGGCCAGACAGCACCACCAGGTCGGGCTGGAAGTCCTCCAGGCTGGCCACAAACACCTCCAGGGCGCTCATCTCCCCGTTGGCCCGGTCGTGGGAGAAGATGAAGCGGCTCGCCTGCGGGGCCACGCTGGAACCCCACCGCTCTCCTGGGAACCAGAAAACGGGGGGCGGAAATCATCCAGCCCCGGGACCCCGCGTCCAGCCCCCCCAGCTCACTTCACCGGGGGGAAAACTCTTAACAGGCCGTCGTGCTAAAACTCTCCCCCTGTGACTGACACCCAGCAAGGGTAGTCCACTAAGAAATAAAAGGATGATCGGGAGGCTCTTGTTCATTACAAATGATGAGATGGCACAAAGTCGTGGCTGGTCAAGCTGTTCCAGTTTTTTTAATTCCCCGTTTTTTCTTCCCATGACTTTGACCTGACTCCCCACTTCAATTCCTACAACAGACTGCAGTGAAATAAAGGCAGCATTTATACAATGTTGAAACATGCATTGTACGCTCATCAGATCTTCCATACTGTTTTTCTCATACGGCGATTTTGAAACACGGCAGCTTTCCTCTCCATGAATGGGCAGTCACAGCTCTCACTGATAACGCCACAAAAGCAGTGTTACTGGAGATTACCGGGAGCTGGTCAATTTAGTAAACTGAAGTTTTCTCAGAACTCCAGCCTCCACCCCAGCCAACCACTACCACTCCTGTCTGCAGGGCACACTGGAACTGAGCTGTCCAATTCCAGGTAACAGGACCCAACCTACACCTCCAGACAGAAGCTCCCACCACACGAGCCACCTGGGAGCCCAAGAATGTGAAATTTAATGTGCACTCTTGTTCTTTTCTCTTTCATATCTATCTAGGCCGCCCTATTAGAAAACACATCACAAGGTCTCTCAGAGAGGCGCACCCAAACGAGCAACGCAGTAACGCAGTTCAGATGAACTCGGTTAATGTAAGGTAGGACCGAAAACCAGACATTGTATAATTCAGACTAGACCTACGCTTACTACATCAATAAAGCTTTCGCCTACCAGTTTGATTGGATTGAATAGTATACCTAACTACAGCTTTGGTATAATAAAATACTGACGTTGAACTAATGCTACTGCTATATACAATCTTAAGTGACAAGACATACAGTCAAGGTATACAAGGTCAACACTGGGACCCCACAGCAGCTCAGCCTGTCTGCCTTAATGGTCTTCCAAGCTCTAGTCAAGCATCAAGACTGTTTCCATCACAAGTTGACACACACATGGTGGGCAGTTATCTGATTGTCAATCCCTTGCTGTCAGTGCACATTACTAATTTAGGAGATTGAATGACATGAAGATCTTCTGATTTTAGCACCAAAAGCTCAACAACAAATTGTCACGGAGATCAAGAAAAACGGGTCTTTTTCTCACATTGAGGGTGTCAAAGGGCTAAAGCAGGCTGCGATCCAGCGTTCGGATCCGGGTACAGGCGTGACCGCCGTGGTTCCGCGCGGGCTCGTGCCCTCGCCGCTCCACCCCGCGACACCTGGGGCGCGACCCCGGGTCTCCGGGGTAACGCCACAGGGAGCCAGCCCAGTGAGCTAAAGGAGACCTCCCCCAGCCCGGGCGGCTGAGGGCCCTGCCCACACCAGCTCCGCTACACAGGCACTGGCACGGCGACTCGGCGAGCTGCGGCTGCAGGGCGAGAGGCCTGAGGGCACCATTACCTGCCTTGTACTCCAGAATGAGGTGGAACTCGTCCGTCTCCTGGAGGGACTCTGGTGGGACCACGATCTGCTCGTCCAGCAGCTCGTGGAGTTTTGGCCCCATGGGGCCACACAGCAGCACCTGGGAGGCACGCAGAGAGGGCACGGTCACTCAAAGGTACCTGAACTTGATTCTTTTGAGCTTTATTGGTTTTGCCTTTTGTGTCTTAAGCCATTGCTTTCCCCCAAACAGAACAGGGAGCTTCTTGTTCCCAGGCACTTCCCTCGAAGCAGTTTAACATTTTCTTTCGTACTTTCGGGAAATATGGAACAAGCTAGTACAACCTTTTTTCTTTTAATTCAGCTGGGCCCTTGAGTGTTAATTAAAAAGTCTTCTCATTAAGCAAAACCTTAATTCCACTGTAGTGCTCTCTGCGTGTCGCTTATGTTTAAAGAGGATCTTGCTCAGTATTACTTAAAATTTCTGTATAACATGCATCTGGAGACGTTCATCTAGAAGTTCAACAAAACCAAAACAATCTTCAGGTTTACAGAACAACACGCTACTGGGAGATGCCAAGAAAGTACCTGGTATATTATAGACTTTTCAAGAGATACCAGTGCTATTTTTATCTAAATCAGCTTGTTGGTAATCTTATTAGGCTTCAGGTATTGCTTCTCATTTATGCCTTGACATTCACCCAGTAGCCAGCTGAAGTATGTAGCTCACTTACTGTCAAGTGGGGGTGTGTTGCCAGTTTTTGACCAATAAGAGCAGCATTTCCACCAACATAGAGCTGAAAGAGAGAACAGGAGTTGGACGTGTAATAAAGAAAGGCAGAAATGTTGATTTTGCTAAACGTCATGTGCTTTGTAAAATAAAGTATGCCCACTTTGTGGAAAACTATCTTAATCATAATACCTAACATTTAATTGCAGTCAGTTGCTGTCTTGTGCCCAGATCTTGTCCAGTCACTCAGAAGCTGAGCAAGACTGAGCCTGGTCACTACTGGGCTGGCAGACCTCCATTGAACACCAAGTTTCTGTTTAAGGTTTGTTGTGCTCTTCCCTCTGGCCCAGAATTTTCACACCAGGTGCCATTCATTGGTGTCTCTTTAAAAATGTTAACATGACAGCTGCATATCACCCAGATGGGTGCTGCACCTCACTAGTGGATGAAGTAGATCACCTATAAATAAAGCTCTTTGGCGTTTATATAGGCATGATAAACTATACTATTAAAGTGTAACCTTAATAGTTTACTGGCTTTTTGTGTCACATTTTAGCTTCTTCAGACTAAAAAACCTATAGTATAATGCGAAAGGACACTAAATTTCTGAGGTGTGGTGAAATTTACAACCCTGATGGCTGATCAAGTTGCTTTGACTGAATTAAAATTGAGCCTGTCTGTTTTGCATAGTCCTTGCAGCCACTGCATGGAGCATACATGACTTCAGCTCAGTTGAAATTCACTTACCAAATGGGTCATACAGCTTTCCTAACCAAAAGGTTCTGTTCTGAGGTTTATTTTTAAGACAGTGTGAGTTTAAGTGTGGAATATCCACTAAGACGCTCATTTTAAACAGCTCTGGTTGTGTTCTGAATTCAGAAGCCTCAGTCTGTTGCAATCAACTGGCTCTAAAAATGCCATCTTCAACGTAGTTGCACATGTTTTCAAGACTGTGGCTCTATGTACGTAACGAGGTCAGACACTGTGAACACGCCCAGAACAAAACACTGCCCAGAAAAAAGAAAGCTACATTTTGCAGAACTAGGAAGTTTTAAATGGATTGATTTTATCTGGGACAAAATCTTTCAACGACTAGAAAGCCAACATGATGAACGCATGGAAAATCACAGCAAACGAAGTATAGGGAGTGCAGTGCCAGGTGTAACTGGGGCACTGCACAAACATGTAAGGATGTGAAAGCTCAGCTCATGCTAGAGAGGTATGGTACAGCACAGATTCTTGTAGCAGGATTCTGTGGCTTTCAACTTCAAATAGATGCTCTTTATCAAATCAGTACTCCTGCACAATTTGGGCTTTTGGCTGATCAAAGAACGTTTCTCTGAGTCTGTATGTTCTATTGCATTTTATATTCCCCTTGTTCTGCTTTCTTCAAGTGCTCTGAATGGTGAAACCCATGATACATACTGTGACATGCCTCTAAATGGCTCCAGCAGTGGATAACATCTCTGTTTCAGTAAACGCAGTACTGCATTCACATCTTCTCGCAATGATCGCATAGCTCATATGTAAATGCTTTATTTAATTTGTGAGGTGGGAGAAATGGGCCATTTTTGACCTGTTCTCAGAATTGTTTGGAACAATCAATGTTAATACAAATGTGTTTACAGAAAACGGTATTCTGCAAGTTCCTCCATTTTGCCCTGGTGGGGGATCGCAGCTAAATAATGGTTCTATTTATATCAGCACATTTAAACCAGCACCAATAGTGGAGAATATTAATTTCTCTTCAGAAGCAGAAGGGTGCTCTGTATTATTGTCACTTCAAACTGTAAAAACAAACACAAAATTGATCATCTTGTACATCCATAAAACGACTATTGTAAGCCCAGCAAGTCTGTGTATGTGTAACCAGATCCAGTGTATGAACAGGTTGCTGAAATGCTGAAAGGAAAAGTTCCACAGCCGAAACGTTGTTTCTCTATTCTTTTCCTTTCCGCACGGAATAAACCTTTACCTGTTCCTTCGCAGCCTACGCCTATGCATGCTGGCCTTCAAACGTCTTCGCACATAGTTTATTTGCACGTTGGAATCCACTCTGCCATTGTAAAGCCATTAGATTCACTCAGAGCATAACTAAGCCTGTGAGACGCACAGGTATGCGATTATACTACAGATTTCAAATCAGGGGGTGCGTGCAAAAAAACAGGGAACGCCGTGAAATGCTCAATACATTGACATTAGCAATGCAAACTCACCAGACTCGTTTTCCACCACAGGCCCAATATTACAAAATGGACCACAACTCCCTCAGATCAACCTGCACCTGGGAAAATCACATCTCCTGAGGCCCTACATTCCCGTTGATGAGGACTATGTTACCATTCCCACAACTGAGGAAACCTGGACCCCTGTGAAATCAGGGCACAAATAAATAAGAGCTGTACGGGCAGTGTGCTATTGAATCTACCCAAACACCAAGTCAAATTAAAAGTGTTGTCTGAAAACCGGTTTTCAAACATTTGCGAATACATTCCTAAGTGGTACTAAAAATGAAATCACTTTCAGATTTAACACTACAAGTCTGTCCAAAACCACGAGAAATTGTCTCAGTCTTCTTTGTCATGCGTTTTAAATGCATTGTTGACAAGAAACCGCAGGTAGTATAAAAGCAGCACATGTGTGAATGTCAGTTCTGAGAGTTTAAACAGCACGAACACGTATGACCACTAAAGAGAAATGACTTTCTCAGAAAACTAAGTGGACTATAAAATTAAATTTTCCAACTATAAAAAGCAACAAAGACACTACTTACATTAGGAACAAAACACAAGACTCATTATGGTAAGATGTAGCTCAAGTAATGGGGAAATGCAACTCTAAAAGCTTTAATTGCCATCAAGCATGCATAATCAAGTTAAAAACAAAAATCCAGTTCTTCATCACATGAAATATTAATTAAAGAGATCACCTGGGTCTTGAAGGGGATGCATGCAATGCAATTAATGTATAAAGAATTATAACTGATAAAAAATTACCATCTCCAGGTTACTTCTCCTGTAAAATAAACAGCCTTTTAGGACAAACTATTCCATAGTTTCAAGAAGGTTATAGGACAGCTGTAGAAATCAACAGCAACAGCAATTTCAGCTGTTTAAATCCTTGTCATCCCAAAGCACAGTTTGTAACACACTTCAGTTCTGAGCTTTCCCTCTGTTGGGTGTTTTAGAAGTGTGAAACGTCAACTGTGGAAAAAGCGAATCTGAGGAAGTCTTCTGGAGAATTATTTTACACTGCTCCGCAGTGGGCATCCTTTAACACTCCCCCCATGGGATTCAGATAACGTTACCGGTTCTGTCTGAAATCCTGCCTGCAGCAGCGACATCTGCTCAGTTACCTGGGCCCCAGGGTACTCCACCGCGGCCCGGGCTATCCTCTGGAAGGTCTCCTTGTCGCTGTAAAATCTCTCTGCGGCCGCTCCCTGCTCCATGTAGTGGATGAAGGTCTCCTTCAGGTCCTCTTTGGAGCGCAGCACGTCGTGATCCTGCCCCGCTCCAGGATCCACAGCAAGAGCCTGGAGGAGCCCCACTCCCGAGACCACCACATCTACACAGGCATTGACCCTTGACAAGAGACAGACGGGAAGAGCAAGGTAAGAGACATTTGACCTGGGCCTCTCAGTATCTCTTAACTCAGTGGTCTTCTATCGGGGTCTTGTAGAGCCGGTGTACCTGCAGGTTTTCTAGGTCTCTGTGAAGTACAAGTACCTGAAGAGCTGGTCCATTTAAGACAATAATGAGCTAATGAGTCTGTCCCGGCAAGCATGGGCACAAGGTGGGACCCCAGAGCTGGACAGGATGCCAGTCCATCGCAGGGCGCTCTGCTCTTAATAGGTGTTGCTAAATGAACAGTGATGTAATCTCTATGCAGTACAAAATATAGGGGCTAGACTTTCATACTGTATTACCCCCTCATCATCCTACAGGAATTCGGAGTGATACTGATGAGTGTAGTAGAAACGCAAGGTGAACACCGGAGATTCTGCTTGCAGCTGCTCCCATTTCCATTGACACCACATTCCTTTGCTCAGACAAACACTATGAAGCATCTGGAGTGTCAGGATGTGTTATGGCCCTGTGCGAGATATCCATGCCGTGCCAAGTTGCTGAAGGCGTGGTTTGGTGGAACCTACAGGGAAACGTCAGTGCCTGACACTTTCTGGGAATGATCCGAGTTTTCCGACGGGCTTATGATCAAGAACCTCACTGAAAACAGTGAACTCTGTCCTTCCATCTCAGCCCACTCACCCACCCACCCACCCACTCACCCACTCACCCCACAGCCACGCGGCTCCACTGCTTGGCAGGGGACGTGATGAGAGCCTCCCAGGCCGCGGCGATGGTCTGCTCGGCGGCCGCGGTGCCGGCGCCGCCCTGCAGGGAGCGCAGGGAGGCGGAGAGGTACCGCACGGCCCGCTCAGGGAGCTCGGGATCGGAGCGGTGCCAGATGCCCACAATCAGCGCCAGCACCGCTGCCACCATCGCCCTACGCCACATCCTCGTGTCCTGCGGGGCCGGGGCCGGGAGAGGGCGGGATCTGTCCTACAGGAGACAAAATG